AGATGAAGAGAAGTTTCTTAACTTCCAGGGATGAAAAAAGTAAGTGACATAGAGAGGAATATGAATCAGAATAGCTTTGTCCTTCCCAATAGCACCCCTGGAAGGTACTTAGGCAGTTAGGTTTCAGCATTGTGAAGGGAGTTTATTTCTCACTACAATTCTATACCCAGCCAAAATGTCAATGAAGTCAATAGGTAGAATAAAAACATGAAGCTCCTAGAAGACAAGAGTAAGATAAGAGAGAGGAATACATAGGATTTAGGAAACAATGTCTGCAATGCAGGAAAGAAGTCAGGGACTCTCCAAGATGGTTATGAATGGAGGGAACAGCATGATAGCTTGAGTTAGGACTAGAGAGAGATGAGTTCTGATTACAGCACCAAAAGATCCTCTGGAATAGACCCAGGACCCTGAAACTGCTAGAATACTAATGTATTTCGATCTCTTGAGGGAACATTAGACAGCTAAAAGGATGAAATATCATAAAAAAATCAAAATATCAAAAAGATGAATATCAAAAAAAAAGAAAGAGAAAAAAAAGGAGGGGTGGTGGAGAGAGAGCAACGATTAGCTCCTCTGCAGGAAGGAAAGGTAGCCATAGGTGACTGCAGTTAGTAAAAGCACTTACATGTCATACTTATACTAACACTCAAAATTGGTAAGACCAATGCTGACTATTTGGGAGGTTACAAAGGGAAGGAATACTGGTTCTCTGTTACTGAGTAACAAAGTAGTCAAATTTAGTGGCTTCAAACAATGCACAGTTTCCATGGGTCAGGAGTGCAGGTAGAGCTTAGCTGGCTGCTTTGATTGGGGGTCTCACAAGGCTTCAGTCGGGGCTGAAGTTCCATCAGGGCTGGGCTGCATTGTCAGTTGGGGAAAGACCAGGTTCTAAGCTCCCTCAGGTTGTTGGAAGAGTTCATTTCTTGCGCCTGTAGATCTCATGGTGCTTGCTTCTTTGAAGGTCAGTAAGAAAACGTCTCTGACCTTTGGGAGTGCCCCAGTCCCTCTCTCAAGGGATTTTACCCAGTTAAGTCCAGCCTACTCAGGACATTCTTCCTTTTGATGAGCTCAAATTTTGCTAATCTGGGGCCTGAATCACATCAGTAAAAGTCCTTCAGCTTTGCCATATTCTGTGGGTTTGAAGCAGGTCATACGTTCTGCCTGCACTTGGGGAGGGGTTGTGTAGGGTGTATGACTCATAGGAGGTCACCTTAGGGTGTGTTTGCCATAAAAGGGTTTGTGTATGGGTGTGTGAGGAATGCAAAGGGAGGAAAGAAGGCTTAAATTCTCACCCTCTATGGTGACAAGTCAATATTGATAATGCTTAAAACTGAAGAAATTAATTAGCAATATTAAGAGATCTAGAAAGTACCATAATAATATGCTAAAAGAGAGGAGGGTGATTTGTTTGAGAAGATGGGTATGGAGGGCAGTGAACTACTTCTCACAGGAAAATTTGCATAATCCTACAACTCTTTTAAAGTAGTGACTACGTAAGTTTGATAAAAATAAAAGCATGAAGGGAAGAGAGTAAGAGACTTTTCAGGAGTTCAATAAAGACCCAAGTTCTTAGGGGAAAAGTGCCCTTCAAGTTACAGGCAGAATAAATGTTCAACAAGACTTTTTAGTGCAGCTGCAGAATACCGTAAAAGTACAGAAGTTTCTTATATGGATTAAGGTAAAAATTATGAAAAATACTTGGAACATAAAAGTAGACACTTAATATCAAGGGTGATGAAGAAGAAATCTTTAAAGTTATCACACAGAAAATCTATAAAGAGATGGCAAGTCGAGTAGGTCTCTCCATAAAATAAGTGTCAAAAGAAAATGGAGAAGCATGTGAAACATGTCTGAAAACTGTCAGCCTATCATTTTATAATTATATAAACTAGAATTCAAGAATTAAATTAAAATAGAGACATTTCTAGACCTCTGAAGATTCAGAGTTTACCACTCAAAGATTTTTCACTAGCAGAAATCCTGGAGGCAGGAAAAGTGAGGGATATATAGAGCAGTCCTGAATACAAAAATTAATTTTTTAAATGTTGGTTAATTACAGTAACTATTAATTATACAAGTAAATAATAACTTTGGGAGCCTAAAAATGATTGAACTGAGACTATAGACAAGAATAAATTGTATTGGAATGAGAATGCTCAGCGAATAATTAAAGTGCACAAAATCTGTGTTTTGTTTTGGAGGACAGAAATTAGAAACCTCATACTTGGCTAACTTATAATTGTGTATATTAAAATTTAATTGCAATTAATTAAAGCTGTGCACAACTATGTTTTAGATATTGAGACCTATTCGTCTTATAACTAAAAGTTTGCAACCTTTACCAACCTTTTACCAACCTCTCTGTTTCTCTCTATTCCGCTGTTCTCCCAGCACTGCCTACCACACTCCTCCTGGCAACCACTTTTCTACTCTTTGTTCATGAGTTCAACTTTATTAAAGATTCCACTTATAAGTGGTACCATGTGGTATTTGTCTTTCTCTGGTTTTTTTCACTTAGCACATACTCTCCAGATTCATCTACGTTGTTGCAAATCACAAGATTTCCTTGTTTTTTAAGGTTGAGTTCCATTGTGTGTATTTATATATATACAAAGCCACATTTTCTTGATCTATTCATCCATAGTGGATACTGAGGTTGTTTCTATACTTTGGCTATTGTGAATAATGTTGCTATGGACATGAGAATACAGATATTTCTTCAAGATAATGGTTTTATTTCCTTTTGGTTGTATACCCAGAAGTGGCATTCCTGGTTCATAATGGTAGGTCTATTTTTAATTTCTTGAGGCACCTTCATAATGTTCTGTATAGTGGCTATACTTGTTTACAATCCCACCAGGTGACTGAGCACAAACTAATGTCAGATTCAGTACACGTGGCCTGTGACTGAAATCTGACAATAGCTCTCACTTGTCAGATGAAGAAGCTGGGGCATGCAGCTAGTAAGTGGGAGGGCTGGGGTACAAAATCAGCATTCCCCGCCTAAAATTGCTGCACTTAGACATTTAAAACAGGGGCCAAAGTCAACA